AGGCATTCGAAACGTCAAGCCTGGCTAAAGCCTCAAGCCCTAAATCCTTGGCGAAGTGGGAGGCGACAAGAAACCCTAAACCCATAGAGCCCTATAAACTCCAACCCCCTAAGCCCTCAAACAGGACAGTACACTTTATTACACCCTAAACCAACAAAATGAACCAGGATCGTCTGAAGACCTTGCCCGGCTTTGTCCGAGAGTGAGCGTTTACAAGCCTAAACAAAAACACGAAACCCTAAAGCCTCAACCCCCTAAACCCTAGGCCCTGAACCTGAAACCCACCTGTGACCCCAAACCCTGCAAAAAAAAAATAATAGTAGGTTGTGACCCCTTAGTTAGAGGGTAGAACCCTTCAAACAGCAGGTTTTTGGATCCCCACGTGAACCGTAATGAACAACACAGGACAGCGACCATCAGCTTCAAAGAGTTTCTGATCTTGGCCCGGCGAACGCGCGAGGTCGGGACCCAAGCTTTGTAGGCCTTTCGGGGTCGTTCCAGTGGAATTTTAGGGCTTATTGGTTACTGGCTTAGGGGTTTAGTATGGATGGGGATCTGGGATTTGAGTTTAGGGTGTCTTTGCCTCCGGGTTTGGGTTTCTTGCCGTAGGGTTTTACTGAAAAGGGCTTGGAGAGGGCTTCGATGTTTTTAAAGCATTTATGGTTCTTAAAATTGAGGCTGCAGGGTGAAGGAGCTGGCTTCGGGGACAGAACCTACTCCCAAGTCCAGAACGTGCCAACCCCGAAATGCCAGTATCGAAACCCGGAAGACGGAAGCCGCGCATTTACAACCCCCATGCATTCTCTGCGAGCCAGAAGTGTAACATCCCTCTTCGGAAACCTTAACATTCCGAGACCCTAACTGTCTAAGCCCTTTCTTCCAGAGCCAGTCCTTCCTTCCGTTCCCTTTGACATGCCTTCCTCTGCCTTAGATGGAGATGCTGCAGCTCTCCAAGGAGATGCCAGGCACAGCTCTTCAGTCCCTTGTTAAGTCTAAAGCCAGAGTAACCAGAACCCTGCAATCATCGGCTTCTGTCTTCCAGAGATGCGACGTGCAGAGTCTCGGTTGTGCGGTATGAGAAGTTCATTCCGCTGGCCGTGGTGATCCCTGTCCCGGACATTGGCAACATCATGAGTCAAAACCTCAAGCATGTTCTGATTTTCATCATGTCCCTGTCTCACGGAAGATACTTGCCACAGGCATGCTCAATACGCCTTCCACGGTAGCGATCTCAGCCGGCTGCTACTGCAATAGTGCAAGGACTGACGAAGCTAGTTGCCACTATACTGCAACTTCCTGATAATGCGCTACGCCTTCCACGCCGCTGCTCGAGCGAGCTGCAACCCTAACAGTGCAAGGATCCTTCATATCCTTCGGTGGGGATTATACCCACACCAACTGGGCCTCCCACCGTCCGAGTGCTAGAGGTCGGGCAGGTCAAGCCTGATTACAGTTTATTCCGTACATGCTTTCTATTTCTGAGTGCATGCCAAATGTTTCGGCGACGGCAAGATCGGACGGCAGGGAGGCTTAGGTGAGGCGTTTTCACTAGGTCTTTTCGACTGTATCCGCTTGTCGTGTTCCACCGTCCCACCTTCTACGATGTGAACATGACGATGCATCTCAAATACAGCCGGCAGCCTGTAGGGCTTGAGCCTAAACTTGGCGACAAAATGCAAGATTCCACGAACGTTGCGTTGTGTGTGTGTCCGTTCTAGGCAGCGAGAATTCCGACTCCATTAACAGCAACGGCCCTTTCTTTTCTCGAAGTGCCACATGACCACACCGAAGCGACAGTCGCAAAGTGGGTCCTTCATGTTTACCCCCACAGCAGAGACAGCACTAGACCCTCAAGCCTACATACGGCCATCTGGCTGTGCCGAGTTGTGCGAGTGGAAGTACCGCACCCAAGGTATTATGGCTTTCTAGCACTCGTACTCAGTACTGCCCAAGCTTTGAGAGTCGAAGTGCGGCTAGTGCTTCAGTTCAACCTCAGATGTTGAGGCCGCCAAGGGCGACTTCGAGAACGCCGTATCTGTGCTTGAACTGTTTGGGTTTAGGGTAATGAGATGATGCTAGTCTGGAGGTTTTTGTGCAGCCTTGTCGAGAAGTATGAGTGTATATACATAGTATGGTATAGATTGAAAGTACGTGTGTCGGCCCACCTAGATGGTGGATGCCCGTCCCTGCCGCAGCAAAGACATGTTAGAGTCCAACGTGCCGTCCATTTTTCTCGAGCTGTCAAAGTTTGGCGTCTTTGGTGGTCGAGGGATGTTGCGACAGAGAACGGCATGCTTGACAGGGTCCCGAGCGCATAGACGCAGCAGCATCAGGCAAAGGCATCAGTAAGAACAAGCTCAGGGCTCGTTGTTGCCAATGCCTGTCTGAAGAGAATCGACCGGACTCGCAGGCAACCATCCACACTGCAGGGTAACGTACGTTTTGCTTATGGAAGCTTGACGAGCATCCAAGGATACTGTCGGGCACTCAGTATGCGCCGGCCCGTGTGAGATCTGAGATAGCTGGCTTACCATCTCCCTGCATTGCATGAGCACACTGCTCTTGTTAGAGTAATCCCTTGATCCAAGTACTTCCGAGACATTCCGAGCTCGCTCAGCAGCGTGATTGCTGAACTCCATGGGCGGACGATAGTACGACAAGCCGTACACCATGCCATACTCATGCTAGCGTTTCACGCCCGGCTAGCCAGGATGGCAACGGAACCATTTCGGACAAAGAGTTGGTCAAGTTCTTGGAAGGCCCTCTCGGATACCCGGCCTCCAGACAGCAGTTCTAACCTGCTAAACTCGAACCATGGTTCAGATAACCGCAAGCAGTCGTCCCTGGGGATTCCAGTTCTGCATGGTTTTATGTGCTTCCCGTCTTACCTTGAACACAAATCAGTATGCAAAGCTGGTTTCTGGTCGGTGCTGCTCTTTATACATGGTACAGCACGTGCAGCTTTAGAGCAAACTTGGCTTAGGCGACATCCTGGAGGTATCGAAGTCTCCAGTGATATTCGATACCCCACGAGTGTTTTGAGCGAAGATTTCCTTTTGGCCATGGCCTGCACCAGGCAAAGAATTCACACCTCTGAAGAAGGCCGGGCGACCCGGGTGTCCTTTCGGAAGAGCCGCAAGTAGCCGGAAGTCCTGGGAGCGATCTTTGCTTCAGGCCCTCTCGAACGCTTCATTTCTTGCAGCCATTGGGCTTCAAAGGCTGTCGAGCGTGGTTCGATCCTTCCACCGCAAGTGAAGCATAATTCATCATAATTCGTTTGACCCCAAACGCCTGAGCTGAAACATCAGCCCTCAACCCACAGTTTCCTGGAAGCCTCTCTTGCTCTCTTTGAGCTTTTCTCCTGCTAGGTTGTCCAGGAGGTGCTCATGGAAGTGGCATCGAGCTTGGTGGCAGATATTGAGGAAACCTAGGCGAAATCACAATACTGAAGGCTGAGTACTTGACAATAGTAGTTTCGCATTCCTTATGGTTTTCATTGTAGCCTCAGTTGCAACATTTCCGTTATACCCCAAAGCCCTGTCCTATGCATTGTAAGGCTTCTAAGTGAGCCACTGAGGCACAAGTCCCACCACCCCTCGACCACCAAGGCCGCCGAAGCCATCGAAGGAAGAGAAGACCTGGCGAGAGCCCCAAAGCTTTCGGGTTTGGGTGTTAAGTTCTAGGGTTTTTGGGTCTAATGTGTTAACTTTTAGGTTTAGGGTTTAGAGACGGTACCAGAGCCGGTGAGCTAGCAGTTATAACTACATATATATATATATGGCAATAATGCTGGTACCGAGGACGCCGGGTCCTGAGGAACAGGGTTGGATGCTAGGTCCGGCTTCACGGCATCATGAAACCAGAGGCCTGTGATGAGATGCAGTCCAGCGTTTATGTCATCATATCATAACTGTCACAACCTGCAGTCTTATAGAAGTAAGCAGGTTCGCTGGAACATGCACTAATTACGCTGCACGTAGCGCTTGCCGTCAGAACTTCCTGAAACGGCATTCCGAAGAATTCCAACTGCCAGTAAACCACGATTTGGCTGAGGACTTTAACCAGTTCTTCGATTTCTTGCGCAGCGAGCTCGCTTGCACTTTCCGACGCGACAGGGGCCATCGGGAAATAGGCCCAGGTGAATCCAGAGGCCCAGGTTTGCTCTTTGCGTCCTCGGCTCGAGACTGTCTGGCCCAGAAGTGGCGATTTTGATCACCTCCACGCTCTTTGCCCCTCTCGATCCTTCGAGATTATGAGGACCGTTCAAGTTGCGGCCGTCGCGGAGCCGATGCCAAGAGTCTCGAGCCCGAGCTCCGTGGCGGATGTGGCTTGCACGAACGACAAGGTCGTGCAAGGAGCTGTGACGACAACGCGTCGCACGATGAAGATCGCAGGCCTTGCGCTTTTTGCAGTAGTCTTTACCTTTGCCTTCTTCGGCTGGCCAACGAATTTGCTCGAAGATGCCGCGACACACCGGGGTGTTCTGGCAGCGCTCTTCATCACAGGCATCACTTTGGTCGCACTGGAAGATGTGCTTCGACTTGACAAGTCTGCCATCATGCTCGTCCTGGCATCGGTGATGTGGACGTACCATGCAGCGGGCATCCACGCCAGAACTGTGGAAGGGCACCATCTTCTTGAGGAGGAGCTGATGAAGGGCCTCTTCGAGGTGGGCAGCGTCATCTTGTTCCTGCTCCCCGCAATGTGTGTGGTCGAGTCTATTGACCACATGAATGGTTTCGCCGTCGTCACGGCCTTCATCGTGCGCCACACACAGGGCAAGCCCGGCCGGCTAATGCCCATCGTTTGTGTCATCGCTTTCTTCTTGAGCGCGGTGATTGACAACCTCACTGCCACAATTGTGTGCATCAAAATCCTGCAGCGCGTGGTCCCTCACAGCCAGGACTGGCGACATAGCTGCGGCGGGGTCGTTGTTGTGGCAGCAAATGCTGGAGGCGCCTGGAGTCCGATCGGCGACGTGACCACCACTATGCTGTGGATCCAACACAAGGTCTCCACGGGGGGGATCGTCACTTGGACATTTTTGCCCTCGTTTGTGGCTGGCTTCATCCCCTTGTTCGGCATCTGGTGGCAAGCTCGGCGATGTGGGCCGAAGCTGCAGGAAGCTTCAACACAGTGTGAAACAGTCGTCCCGAGCCGAAACAGCATCGTCGTTCTAGTCATTGGCTTCGGATGCATCCTCATGGTACCGGTTGTTAAGATGGTCACGGGACTGCCACCCTACTTGGGCATGATGATGGCGCTGGGCTCTTTCTGGCTCGTGACGGAGATCTGCGACCTGGGTGCGGAGGTGGCGGCGAAGGACGAGGAGGCCCCTGAGGACAAGGAGGGCCCAGCACACCACTCCCGAAGGGGTGTGCCGGCGGCGCTGCATAAGGTGGATATCAGCAGTTTGCTCTTCTTCACCGGCGTGCTTCTTGGCGTCGCCGTCTTGGAAGCTGCCGAAGTCCTGAGCCGCTACTCCACCTTCATGCGTCAGGTCACTCTGGACAATGAGCTGCTCCTCTCAGGGCTCCTTGGCGTCTCCTCCGCCGTGGTGGACAACGTCCCCCTGGTCCAGGCATCCATTGAAATGTTCGAGGAGCCCGTGGACCATCCTTTGTGGCAGCTTGTCGCTTTGGGTGCTGGCACCGGTGGCTCCATGCTTGCTGTTGGCAGTGTGGCAGGTGTGACCCTCATGGGCTTGGAGGGTGTCGGTTTCCTCTGGTACGCAAAGCGCATCTCCCCTTGGGCCGCCTTGGGCTTCGCACTCGGCCTTGCTACCTTTGCTCTGCAGCAAGAAATCCGTGCCATTGCATAAAATCCCCAGCCTCTTCCATCGGCGGCGCTAAGAGCTGAGAGAGCGGAGCTCCTCACCGCCCAGCCGAGTGGATAGCACTAGCACGGTGACCATCTCGGGGCATTAGATTAGGAGGATCAATTCGAATACGATTATTACATGCACGATTTTCTGTTCTGCATCGGCACATGGCTCCGTTGGGGCTAAAGGTTGTGGTGCCTTTTCCGAGAATGTAGACCGCAACTATGGACAGACACGGTCTGATCACTAGTGGAACCTAACGGTATCATAAGACGACGAACAATTATGCTATGTTTAAAGTAAGCTTTTGCATAACCATCGCATGTACAAGCTCGCGTGGGCAGCGACAACAACTGCAACCTTGGAGACTGGATGCAGAAGTTTTCCCGTGGAGACTCTGGGATCCTTGCATGTTTCCTGAGCTGGAAGATCTTTGGTAGCTGGGCATTGCAGCGAGAGGCCTCCAACAAAGGCCATCGAACCCCTGTAAGTCTTAGTACCATATGCAAGTGCCAGGGGCAGCTCACCTCAGTATGTTGCAAGGAACTGCGTACATACAGCATGCAACGAGAGCAAACTCCCAAAGCATAAGTTTTGGGGCAGCCCCTGGAAGGCCAGGGCCAGGCACATGTCCTGGAAAGGCCCATGCCAGCCGACCACACGGTGATGCGAGTCAGCGCACTCAACGCCGGCACATAGCTATACAAAATCTGCAGGCCAGGCCGGGCCATAATATTTACGTTATTCTTACCGACCTGCCATGTTGTAGCGTTCGTTGTGTGCATTCGCCATTGGTTACTCTGCAACTACATCTGCAAGACGTTTGGTTCTGCATCTGCCTAACTTCCATCCCTCTACTGCCTACGTGCCAAACCTGGAAACTCATGGCAGGTTCCTTTATCGACAGCGCGACGGCTTCTCAAGGCAAGAGGCACGGCCCGCAAGTCATGATCGCGGTGTTTGGAGATAACCTTTAGCCATACCTGCATTACAGTCAATATTGGTCAGCAGCAGATCATCAACCGTCTTTATACCGTACGGGCTTAAGATGAAAATGTTTGTATTGGTGCACATGTGACCTGCCAAGCTCTGTAGCAGCAGCAGCAGCACTATGAAGTTTTACTGGTGCAGGTCTGTCTTACTTGCCTGCACGTGTGCCAGACTAGTGGGTATAGTGCCTAAGATGACGCCAAACTTCGGACTCCAAAAACCAAAAACCTTTCCAGTTAAGCCCACTGTCGCACTCAGGTGGAGCACTTCCGGAAGGGCTTTTCCGACTACGATGCGGACCATGCCTTGTGTCTATACTGGCCAGTTCAGAGCAGTTCAAACCACAGCCATATGGAACTTCCAGGGTTAACGGACGTCAGTTCCACAAAACTTCTCTCCACGCTTGCCGCCCACAAATTCGTGGAAATTCCCGGCATAGCACTCTCCGGCTTCGACCTGTGAGACTCAAGTATCGGCTCCTGACCTGTGTGTGTTGCGCAGGACGGCAGCGGCAGCATCAGCACTTTAGAGTTGAGTTTGGACCTCATTTCGTGTTGCGGCTTGAGGCAACGTTTCATTTTTGGCTACTATGCGGGCTCAAGAGGTTCAGGGCTCGGGGCCCTGAGCCTGCATGTGGTAAGGCTGCATTAGCCTGCCAGCTGGGCTTTCAGGGATGGCTTTGTGGTACCTCTGAAGGAGGGACTGCGCGTTTTGATTCTTGTATGGATTCAGGACCCCAGGCAGCACTGGGTTGAGGTGGTTTCGGAGGATTTCAGGATGTAGGGTTGAAGGAAAACCCTTGCATTCAGCTGTGTCTATGCCATGCATGGTGCATTTGGGGTACGAGCTGCTGTAGACCTGCAAATGTATCCATGCCCGGCCGAGGCGACATTTTCCGGGAGTTCGGCTACCGGGCAGGGGCCTCGAAACCACAGATGCCGCCTCCTTGAGTCTGCCTACCTCTTCAGTTGATGAAAGGCTTGGTTTCCGAAAGTCCTAGATACATATCTTCATATCCCAGCCCTTTTGAGGCGCGCGGCTTCGGTTTGGAAATGCCTCTGGTGGATGGGCTTGAAGGTTGCCGGTGCGAGGTTGTGTAGAGGGACGATCGTGGCTAGATGCTCAGTAGCATAAGCCACGCCGCAGATGGAATGCACTGAGCACCGCAGCGTCGTTAATCCTACTTGTGCAGATTGCCAGTGTTTATGGGCCTAATTATAAAGTCAATGGTTCTTGAAGACCCTCTTCCGAGGTACCCCTAGCATAAAAGTCATTGACTTTCAACAAGCAGTCTCTGCCGAGATCTCCGTAGAAGCTCTGCACCACTACATCGACCGAGTGGACGAAGACGGTTCGAACCAGCCGATGCCTCAACAAGCAGACGGAAAGGTTTCGGAGAGGTCATGCCAGAGCCAGCATCATGGGATCCTTCAGCGAGGGGGGTTCAAGGGAGGTATCTAACCCAATAGTCCCTTAAGGAACCTGTAATTGCCGATTATGCTAGCGTGCACTTTTTGGAACCCTGGTTTTGGCAGGCTTGAACGACCTGCTTCCTTCGGGCTATGCCTGATTGCACTCGCACATACAATTAACCGGACCTTTGTCGCATTGCATGTAAGCAGTGCAACAGCTGCACAAACACTCGAGACTGTTGTGCACCATATCGGCTCTTATCCGTACATCAGGCAGGCGCCGGCAGGTGCACCTGGACATCTACCCTCTTCGACAGCCTGACAGCAAATCTTCAACGTCGGTCTGCCTGGTGGCATTGTTATGCTGCAACCAGGACCAAGCATGGAAGTACTGGAGAAGTCAACCTGCACCAGCAGGGAACTGCTGCTGCATTCCCTGTGGCTTGCCTGGCTTGACAAATTCCGACGGTTTGCCGCAGCCCACGGAAACTGGACATGCAACTCAACCTCTCATCGCATGCAATACCATCTCACTTAGAATGTCGTAATGCTCTTAGGACAGGGGCTTCGATCTCTCAAGACTAAGACGACCGTCCTCGAAGTTGAGGCAATTCGACTCTGCGAATTCTCTAGCAGCTACTCTAGCAGCATTCTCGAGCGTTTGTAATCGGTGTTACTCCAATCAGTTCCAACCTTGGAAGCAAGTCAGACAAGCCAGAACAGAATAACCTAATGTCCACCACAGTTAACGCACGACGCATGACAAACCTGACTTCAATCCCAAACTCAGCCATTTTGGCTTGAGCTGTGCTGTTCAGGATTTTACAGGTGCGGTGCTGTTAACAGTGTGGCAGCCATAGTCACTGGAATTGCGGCTGCTGATAAGATCATGGTTACCAGCCTTGCAATAGCACTGCTTGCTACTCCTCCTGCTGCTGCTACTCTTGCTCTCCTTGCTGCTATCATTGTTGATGTGGCTGCAATACTTGCCCATGAGCTCAGGCATGCAGTGCGGCCCTCCATGAGCGAGCGCCTCGCACGAAAATGTGTGGGGCATGGGATGGCATGCAGGAGCAGTACGGTAGAGTAGGGCGTGTGAGTTTTTTGTTTAAAAGTAGCGCTAAAGATTTGGGGGCTTTATGTTTGGGGAGGCCCTCCCTGAAGACAGCTCCTGCTGGTGGGCTGGGAGTTCGGTGTAGGAGCCGGAAGGGAGGAATCACCGGATTTGTTTTGGGGCTGAGGGTCGAGGTGTCAAGCACTAGTATTACATTCACGATATCATGTTCTCTTATTACTTATTGGCTCGAAAACTCAATCCGTGAAGCCTGTGGTTCATCTCAGTAGAATCAGCCAAGCAGTAGAAATGCATGGAGCAGCTTCAGAGCGCATCGCATCACGTGCGCAAACAATTTTAAGGCACACTGTTGTCCGTAGCACATGCCACAGAATTCAAATTCACAAGCAAGGCACGCTTGGGATTTCCCAGCATCAGCACCTCCTCCAGAGAATACAAGTACTACTGATCGCGAAAGAGGGGCATAGTATAAGACTCTTCAGGGACCCTGGACCCTAAAACTTGAACCATTCATGTTGACATACCTGAAGGGCCAACCCCAAAATCCGCAACGATCCAATGTCCTGAACCTCCAAAGGCATTTGGTTGTGGCCAAGAAGGCCGTGCTTCGTGAAATGGGCGGGTGCGTCGACCTTGATTTGCTTTTTGCAGGCTCAGAGCAAGTGATGTGCGGTCCCTCGTAAGCTTCTGGCCCAAACGGTGAGGGAAGCGGGTTTAAGTGGCCGTCTGCGGAGTTGGCCGTAGTTCTGTTTTCCATGGAGTTCACCCACAAAGGTGTCGAGCTGTTTGCGATTGCGTCCCTGGCAGTGGAGGCGATCTTTGCCCTCAAAGTGCTATGCCTAGCTTGTTCTTATGGGCAGCTCATCAGGCAGAAGGTTCGAAATGCCGCAGCAGCGTTGGGTAGATTCGCATCGCAGCCGTACATATCCAGACGGAGCACCGAGGAGAAGATCAGGTTTGAGGAAGTGTGCCAGCTGCGAGTTCAGATGATTCCCTTTTACATGGGGTGTTGCATTGTGATGTCACAGCTTGGTCTCATTACCGGTCTCTCCCATGTAACTCTGGATGGGTGGGTGCAGCCTGGAGGTTACTGGACATCCTTTGCGCTTTGCGTGGCAAACATGACCTATTTGTTCAACCCACGAGTTGTATCAAAAGCCACCATGAACTTTTGGTATGTTTTGCACATGGCCTTCGGTGCTTTGTTTCTGGCGCCTTGGTCAATAACTCCCGCGCAGACATTCAATGCATCCCTGGCGGTGCTTGCGCTCATACGACTGCCTGCGATACTGTTTGCTACTACCCCTTTTCTGGTTGTTGGTTGCAATCTGGGAGTTAGTGCTCTGCTCCTTGTGCGCACGATGTCTGAAACTTGGGCTCCGCCGGCCTGCGACATTTTGCAGCCAGCGCTTACGCTGCTTTGCGGCGAAGTGCTCGGTCTTGCTTTGACTACTTGTTCGGCCTTCGCTTTGAATGGGCTTCTGCACCACAAGGTTCGGCGGGACACCCGGCACAAAAACACCACAAGCCAGTTGGTGGCAGCGTCTTCGCTGCTCAGCCTCACCTGCGATGCAGTCGTTGAGCTTGATGCCGACCTCCGGATTACAAAGGACTCTCCTCAGTTGGCTACCATGTTGCTCAGAGACAGGGCTGGTGCCACCGTGAAGGGCATGATGTTTACGGATCTGATGCCGACAGAGCATGAAGCGGAACGAGCCTATGAGATACTCTCTGGCAGGAGCTGCACAGAGACGGCTGCTGGCCGGGAAGAAGGTATCCATGCGAATGCCTTCCATACCCGCCTTGTGGACAGCTGCTCCAGCAAATTCCGAACAGAGGTTTTCCAGGTAGCATACAGCCAAGTAGATGGGCAAGTTCATCACCTCATAGGTCTGCGGGACTTCACAGATCAGACAGCCTTGGCTGGCGAGAAGGCCGTGGACGCCATGGAGGGCTGTGTTTCGAGCATGATCGATGAATTCTCATGGGAGCCAGCGGAGAAGGCAGATTTCAGGGACCGAAGCGGCGGGGACTCATCGGAGTCTGAGCCTGGAGTCCAGGAACTGTCCGTGGATGACTCGGTCTTCTTGTACGTCGACATGCAAGGCTTGCGTGTGGCCGCTGCGTCCTTGACCGTCGCGCACATGTCTGGCAAGGACTTGGGGGAGCTTCTCTCCGAGAATGGGCTCAAGATCTTACAGCAGATATGGGAGGAGGCGACAGGAGAGCAAGAAGACCTGATGTACCCGCTCCATCAGCTGAAAATTCATTGCAGCGATGGTCGCTACTCCAAGATCTCTGGCCGAGTCGAGGTCGCCAAGGCTTCGACGGGGGAGATCTGCCTCCTGCTCTATTTCAAGCCCACGCCTCGGATCCTTCGGAGTTATTGCCCGAGTTCAGAAGACCCCATGCCCCAGGGAGCAGACACTGCTTCGGAGAATGCACCCGTCGTGCACCATTCCTTGTAAGTTGTCCGTGTCCAAGCCCAGTAGATGGCTGGCAACACCTGGCAGCAGTTTCTTTTCAGGAAGGCCGCTCCATTGCACAGAACAGTGGGTCGGCACCAGTCGGCACCTTGGCCGTGCAGGCTGTGAAACAGCTTCTGCGACAGGCGCCCAGCAGTGAAGCTGCTTGCCAAAAAGTTCGAATAAGGCTCTCAGACTTATCTGCCACGGAAATAGGCTGATTGAAAGCGGCTTCCAACTCTACCAACAAAACTCGCTACATTCACCATACTACCTCAGAATGATGAACCTCCTGTCAATCCCAAATGCAAAAGCAAAGATCTGTACAAGCTGCCACGTCAGGTGTAAGCAAAGTTGATGTTGTCTGATCGTTTCTTGAGTTTTTCGGCCCCCGAAATGAGTTCGAAGCCAGTGGCGTACCGTACATCCCATGGACCAGGTGCCTAAATCACAAAGCCGAAGTGAGTTAAACCCTAAAGCTCAGCGCCCCAATCGTGGCCCAAGCCCTAGACCTTGTAGCTGCCAGAAGACGCCAGGCCATTCAGAACAAGATCGCGTACTGGCTCCGTCACCCTGAGACGCCCGCAACGGCCCCATGGCCATATATGGGGGCCTAAATAATTAGCATTGGTTCTGGGATATATTCTACGAGGACCACAAAGATAGGGGGGGGGGGGTGCTGTTTGACTCTTCTTGCTGGCAAACTCCCAGTTTGCCTGCATGCCAATTTTCGAGGCCTCTTTCCGCAACCAGAAGCTCGAAACCCCGAAATGCCATCCTATGCCGAGGCCGCAAACTTGCACAGCATCCGGCAGCGCAAGTTCCTGGCCTCTGAGGAGACGGATGGAGTGTCCCACCTGCAGATCCCTGAGCGTGACGACGAGCTCTAGGACCAGGCCTGGGGACAGGCTATCATGATGTACGATATACGCCTCAGACCAAAACGGTCTAGCAAAGGGACAACGGAAAATATTTTAAAATCAACCCTCTGTGAAGTATGGGAGGGAGAAGGAGGGCACAGCAAAGCCTTGTGATCCTCCCGGGCGCGCTCACACGCAGTGTGCAGTGGCAAGATGGCAGGTGCTGATGCAAGTTGGGCTGATGTTTTGCGACTCTGTGTCCATTCTGGTCCTCGCAAGGGCGAGTACTCACTTAAAACCACCTGCTGTGCTCACGCCAGGTATCATTGAAAGGGTTTTCGTTACGCGCTGAGCCTCGACTGAAGCTGCGACAAGCTTCAGGGACGAAGCTTTGCATCACAAGCTCCCAGCACAGGCCTTGAAGCTGCCAACCTTGAGGGCTTTGAATGCCCTGGAGCCTAACCAGGAACCCAGCAACACCAAAATAAGCCAACCCAGCAACACCAAGTAAGACTACCACAGCAACACGCCTGCCAAGTCCTTTCGGGATGGCTTCCATCGCCCCTTGCCCGGCGTCCACGCGGCCTCCCCATGCGCCGGCAGCACAACATGGGCGCCGCCGCCGGGGGGGGGGGGGGGGAGGGTTTGCGGCTTCGGCTTGGGCTGAACAACTTTGGGTTGGGGCTTTGGGAGCTCCGGCTGTCCGGTAGTTGGAGGGCTGCAGCGTAGATGAGCAGTCTCGGATCTGCCAAAGGGCGAGAGGGGAAGGGTGGGTCAAGATTTTGTCAGTCGGGGGCGATGTGGGGGTTTTCGACCATATGGACTTGAAGCTGAGCCCTAAACCCCTAAACCC